GTGTTTACATTCGTTGTAATTTGTTTGTTCTCATTTCAAACAGCTGATTTTTCAACTTGCTTGTTGATTTGATTTTGGCCTTGCCAAAAAAATGTTGCATGAAGGCTAAATAAACCGTCAAACCTTAAAATATATACTGAAAACATATTTTTAACTTCGATTAATTACCTTTGGGGAAGTAGAAGTTCTAAAAAGAGGTGCATCGTTTTCAAGAAAATGCAACCACCAAACATTTGTTTACCTTTTTTTGTAAATATGTCAAAAACAGCTTTCTCAAACTGTGAAAATACCATGAAAAGCTTTTATTTAGGGTATGTTCAATGGATTCCCTTGCATTTGGAACATATGTGGAATGCATTCGAACGTCTTTCATTCAGAATGTGAGAAAATTGCTCATTTTCGCGCTTGAAATTTTATATGCAAGAATAAGCCATTCGCTACTCATTTTCGATTTTTGACCAAAATGAGCCATTTTCGGCCAATGTAAACGCCATATTAGATAGACCAAGCAAACTTTTTGAAAGAAACTTATTTGGAACTTGTTTATTTGTTATTTTAATGAAACCAGCAATATCTTTGACTTCTATATTTGTGTCATTGGATATACATTTGAGAAAGTGAAGCCATTAAGTGGCTAGAAGCTTGCAGGTGAATACTGAGCAGCGAAAGAATAAATGATTAGCACTTGGCTTTTCTTAGCCACATCGTTGATTTTTGTCATTGAAAGCAGTATATAACCGGTTAACATATCTGTCTATAAGACAATATTTCGTTATGGAAATTTCATTGAATAATGAGGGGTCAAGAAGACCACACAGTTCTTCTGCTCTTGCCTCGTGCTATGTTAGTTTTAAAATTTGTGATAATTATTATTATAATTTTTATAGTTATGCGGACTCAATCACTAACAAAAATGCACAATATATACTCCAGACTCGAGCCCATCACTACGATTTCCAGTGCGCCATTGAGTTAACTGTATTACCTATATTTAAAAGAACTCTTCAATATCGTTGGCAATCATTTACTGGTTTTAAACAAAAGTACTAAATTAACTCGCGTACAATGACTATTGTCATTTAAGGATTCGTTTATTTTAACTGTATGCAGAAGAGTCTCAATCTTTTCTAGATCGATGTTTGAGCATCTATCAAAAGCGTTGATTAATGAAACAATTTCTAGATCCATAAAATTGGGCGCAAAAATCTTCTGCTAAAATGTAAAAGAACTATGTAGTTTTCAAGATCGTTTTTGGAATATTTCTATATATGTATATGTATGAATATGTCTGAATATTTCCATGTATAGTCTTCTCAAAGTTAGCCGTTGGTAGGAGCTGACTTTAAATGTGAACATATATGAATATGTCAATGACATAATATTAGACAAATAATATTAGGCAATGAGTTATTAAAAATAATATTATAAGTTCAAATTTGTCTTAAGATGTATAACATCTGTCTGTTAATTTTTCTCCGTTTGTAGTTATTATTGTTTTTGTAGACCGCAGGGATCCTTAAATCAAATAACATGTAAGAAATTACGAAGACGTATAGATATGGTTAGGTATGTTTTATGATAATAGTAGTATAAGAGAAGATGGGTTCGTTGGGTTTGAGTATCGCACAACGCACCCAAAAGAGACTACACAAGCAAGTCATTTCACATTATTTTCTATGGTTTATAAAAATGTTTTAAACCAATTAAATTAATTTTTACTTTAATATCAATATACAAGTTTTAAAAATTTATACATATTATGTATACATATTATTTTCATACGAAAAAGTATACTCAGTAGTATAGAAAAAAAAATTCAATACATGAAGCCAAGGAATAATGCATCTACTGAAATGCATACCTTTTGTCTGATTAAACAATTAATTTAATGTGCAATAATTTAATTTAAACAATGCATATTGCATGTAATTATTTGTATTATATTATTTTGTATATAAGGACATCTCGTGTATTAACATACGATATGCATTAATAGTCATTACGCATTGTCATTTGTCATTAACAACTATAAAATAAATTAGCTGCCAATTAGTTTTGCATTAAAAATGTCTGGTAAATTAATTACCACCGTTAACACTTGCCTTGGCCAACTGCCTGGATTTTTCCATGCGTCCAGCGTCCCGGCAGTGCGAATTGTATTGGAAAAATTGAAAAAAGCACATCACAAAACGCCCATGAGTTATACGTACTAGTAATTTGCATTATATTTATAATTAATTTAATAATAAATTTCTGTTTTCATTTGTTTTCACAAACAAAAGCCACTTTAACAAATTAAATTCTTTTTATTATTGACTAACATTCGGTTAAACTGGCAATGAATTTACTATGAAATGGTCCAAAAAAATTAATAAAAACGACTATAAATGGTTACAAATGTATAGACTATAATGTATTGTATATTAAATATGTGTGAAAAAAATATATTTCGAATTTATTTTAATTCATTTTATTGTAAAAAAAGTTTTGTTGCAAATTTATAGCGCAGAAAAATCGATAACAAACAACAAAGTTCGCTTTTTTCAATAATTAAGGTCAGTAGAAATTGAACTCAAAAAAGTGACAATATGATTTATATTAAAATTATTTAAAAAAATTATATAAAAATGCATTTATGTTTTAAATACAAGTGAGTAGAGTGTAACAAATATTAATAGGAACAAACTAAAAGATACTATTTGGATATGTCATCATGACAGGTGAATAGATAGTTCACTAGATAGTTAAAGCCTGTAAGCACGTCGCATCATCAAATCGAAGTATTCATCATTGTCAATGGATGCGCTGAGAGCTGCATAGTAATTTATGAATTCCTCTCTGGTAATCTAAAGGAAAACAAAAATTCCATTTATATTATTAAAACCAAAAGAAAAAATTTTTAAACTATTTTTTTACTTAAATTAACTTTATTTTTTTCCACTTACCTTGCCATCGAGGTTACCGCGTCCGCCCTCAAAATTGTGCAAAAAGTTTGTTAAAATTTCATCTTCGGTCATCTCGCCACTTTGGTATTTCGGATGCTCTTTCACTGAGTAAACATTTTTTAAATCAACCAACGTTATGACACCATCGCCGTTTCTGTCCATTTTGCCAAATGCTTCATCTATGACATCCAAGCGACATTGTGGCATTGGTGGCTAAAGCAGTAGCAAAAAATTGAAACAGTTTTTACATTAAATTAAAAACTTGCTACTCACTCTCAATTTAAGTAAAAACTCAGTCATGCTAATTGAACCGCTGCCATCTTCATCAAAACTAAAAACAGAGATGTTTTTTTCATATATATCTACTCGTATATAATGTACATGACAGAATTTTTCATTTACTTTTTTACCTTTTGAACATGTCTTTTATTTCTTCACCACTGGCATCCAAACCAAATTCACGTATTCCGATTGTAAATTCTTCCTGATTTAAGGTCTTGCTGCCATCGTCGTCGATACTGCGAAAAGCTCTGTAGTAATTTAAGATAAATATTATTAAATTTAGTCATTTACACTTTTCAGACTTAGAAGTAATTTAAAAATAAAAAATATAATATCAAGAACAGTTTCGGTATCTTGTGAACCAGGTTATCCAAGGTAAACTTGGAGTGTGGTGGAAAGAAAAGTGAGGTTAGAGAAATATATGGAAGTTATCGAAGAGAACACTGCGAGCACTAATGGTAATAAGTCTGCAGAGAACTGTTTTGGTATTTTATTTAACTATATAGGCTATATTGTGATAAGTGTTGTAATCCACATAGGTAAACTGAAAGTTGGAATATAAATAAGTACATATATGAATGCAGGAAGGGAAAGGAAAGTTAGAGAAATGTATAGGAGATGTGGAAAGCGGACGCTGAGAGCATTAGTGATAATAACTTTACAGAAAACTGTTTTAGAAATTTATGAGCAAAGTAGTGTGGCTATCGTCTTAATCCACATAGGCACTTTAAAAGCAAAAACATGAATAAATGATCATGTTCTGTAATTGGAGAACAATCATGTGATTGAAGAGTGATGGGAAGAAAAGGTTGGTTAGCGGAATATGTAGGATATATAGGGAAAAAAAACTGTGATTCTTAATGACAATATGTTTACTATTTAAGCCTTTAATTACCAAGGTGGTCTATATGATATTAATATTAACACACATAAGTATCCTAAAAACAAAAACATGAATTAATGATAAGAAGTACACTTGAAGTGTGATGGGAAAGATATGAATGCTAGAAGAATATATAGGAAATATGAAAAGAAGTGAAGAACATCTACATCAATCTCTATATTTTATAGGTAAGTCATTAGAGATCGCACTTGCAACTTCTCGAATATATCGCATGTATCATATGAATATCATATGTAGTATATAAAATTATAACAGAAAGTTAGAGGAATATGTAGAAAAAGAAAGACAGTGGATAGGTTGGTGGAAGGAAGTCAAGAAAAACGTCTATATTTTTCTTAAGTACCATAAGAAAGCTGGCTTTCAAGTGTTAGAGAATCTTAGTGTGCTCAAGAATATCTATTTAGTATATCATATAATAACAAAAAGCAAATGAAAAAATGCAAAGCTCTGAAGCAATGCAGAAGTAAAACATATAATATATGATTTCGGAATAT